AAGTAATAATAACCAGGTCTAAATGGTTGATCACATTCGTGATAGATTTGAAACCATACAAGTCGCTACTAAATAAGCTAAGAAATGAGCTAACGCAGCTGGATGCAGCCCGGTTGAAGGTAGGGCAAGATTATCCCAAGGAGAAAGGGTATCTTAGTTTATTACACTCCCTAGAATCAGAGGCCACTATGATAGAGGCTCAATGGAGGGACATGCAAAATTACCTGAAGGGAATAGAGTTACTGCAGACACGATAAAAGAGATCAGTAGTTCCGATTGTGGGAAAAGTGTTAAATGTCCTGTTTGGAACAGTGACTGAAGATGGCGTTAAATTCATAAGAAGGAAACTGGGAGAAGTGGATATAAACCAGAGGACGCTTGCTCAAGTGGCAAGGGAGAGTGTGACAATATTAAATGTGACAAGGTTGGAAGTGGCCAAGAATAGAGCCAGAATCAATTGGTTAATAGATAACCTGGCAGGGTTGAGACAAGAGGTAATTAATGATACAGAAACTGTAATGATCGAATTACAGGAAATGAGTGGATTCATGCAAAGATATTTCCAACTGATGACAATTACGAATAAGGTACGACAAACTAGTCAGTCGTTGACGACCTTGCTGGAACATGTGAGAGCGCAATTAGACATGTTGTCATTGGGACACCTCTCCCCGAGCATAGTAAACCTGAGTTACCTAAGGGAAGTGCTGCTCGGAATACAGGCCGAGTTACCCTACCATTTAAGGCTGCCAATGGACCCCACCAAAGAATTGTGGAAATATTATAATGCACTGGGATGTGTGACCTTGTTGGAAAATAGAGGACTATTGGTTGTGATATCTGTTCCGTTGTTAGATAGAGAGAGTATATTCGAGATATACCAGGTTATAAATTTACCTATTCCCTACCCCAGAAGAGATCAAGGTTTGAGAATGATAGCAAGGTACAAGGTGGAAACAGAATACATAGCTTTAAATTCGGGGAGAACAAAATTCATGTTGCTAACAGCTGAAGAAGCTAGAAAGTGTAGAAATGATGCTCTAGGGACTTGTACCTTGTTAAGCCCTATCTATATAGCTGGTAACCACAAAATGTGCATAGTAGAATTGTTTGAAGGGAAGAGAGAGGGAATTAAGAGAACTTGCCAAGTAGAGGTATTAGCAAACACGGCATTACCACAAGCTATCAGTGTTTCAGATGGGGTGTGGGCAGTGGCCACACAGAAACCTATCAGCTTGTCTAGGGTATGTGGGGGAGAGTCCACAAGGACATTAAGAGTAAGGCCACCATTATCCCTGTTAGAGTTATCCATGGGATGTTCGGCATTTGGGATATCTATTTCCTTACCCCCTATTACCAGGAAGAAGAAAGATATGAAGAAAAGATGCAATCATAGAAATGATTGGCAGAGGCTTAGTCAATTGTACAGAGTTGTGGGAGCCAATAGTGAAGGGATTCTCCAATGTTACCTTGAATAAAATGCCAGTACTAATGAAGCCGATAGAAAAGATCAATATGGATCAATTGAGGGACAAGTTAAGTGCGTTGGGAAATGAAGGTATGGCTTGGGAAGGCGATGAGCAGATCGCGATAAGTTGGTCGGCAGTGATGGGTACATTAGTTATAGCCATAGGGGTATGGTAATATGGAAGATTAAGAGTAAGAGGAAATTAACAAGCAATAATCAAATGAGCATGCAGCAACTCGAGAGGGAGATGCGAGCAGTGTTCCTTACTCATACAGAATCGGCAAAGAGATTGCAGGAAGACCGGTGGAGGAGGCTGGCGTGAGACCGACACGTGCGGCGGAAAAACCTCCCACAGCGGAGAGGAAAACATTGACCAAGAAGAACAAGCCATAGTAACCACACACCTGCACCCACAGGCACACGCACACATTACATTTGCATGTAGAACAGAAGGTGAAAAGAACATTACATTGCATGGAGAACAGAAGAAGACGAAAAGAACATTACATTGCATGGAGAACAGAAGAAGATGAAAAAAAAAAGAACATTACAATTGCATGTAGAACAGAAGAAGTTGCAAAAGAACATTACATTTGCATGTAGAACAGAAGAAGATGAAAAGAACATTACATTGCATGTAGAACAGAAGAAGTTGAAAAAGAACATTACATTGCATGTAGAAAAGTAGTATAGAATTGCATGGGACAGATGCATGATGCATGCTAAATGGTGTATTTGGGTTTAGGTGTCATTTACGAGTAAATGACAAATAGGTTAGGGGAGGATTGTGAAACCATTTACCAGGACAAAAAGAAAAGAAAGGAAAAAGAGAAAGGAAAGAAAGGAAAAGAGAGGTGAGACTTAAGCTTAGATGATAAAAGAAGCCACCCACGATCGGGGACATTGACAATGTTATTTTGATAAGTCGCAAATGGTGAAAGGTTTCATTACCATTGCAGAAAAATTCTAAATGGATAAGAAAATCGACTATGTTATGCTGGCGAACATCTAATTAACAAACCACAGACCGGCTAGCTAAAAAACTCGGAGACAATTGACAATGCTATTTTGATAATGGAAAAAATTAGTGAAAATTCTGACCACCACTGTCTGACAAAGAACAGGTGAACATAGAGTTTTGGATAGATAAGAAAAATTAACTGTGTCAGAGGGGGCAAACAATATTGTCGGGAAAGGATTTAATAGGTCGTCTGCTAACCGCACACGAAGCCAACCCTGGGTCACGTTTTGGCCGTTTTGACAAGACATCTATGGGTGTTAGAATTCGGTTGTGATAACAAAACTATGTTATCAGAAATTGGCACCAAGAATGCAAATACGACTAGAACAATGAAACTGTTTTTTCGAGACGACGGTCGACTGTGTTTTCGCTAGACTACCTCACTTGATAATTGGCATTGATAGATCCCAGGTGACATTGGGGGATGAGAGCTGCGATTAAGGAAAGAAAAGGAAAAGAAAAAGATAATTTTTTTTTTTGAGCAAGATATATTTTTTTTTCTTCCTAAAACAAAGCCAGCCGGATCACACACACCCGGCTGGACGCCATTGGCTGAATGATAACGAGGGCCAGGTGGAGGTGATCACGTGATTTTAAGGAGGAAGTTATCGCCGCCTGGCACCAGAGGATAGGTATGAGAAGTTGCTACAAAGTGGGGGAACCGTTGACGCCCCCTCTGAAATATGGTGAGATATCCATTTGAGAATAAGAGAAGGTGGGAGTAATAAAAGACTTCCAAAAATGGAAAGGAGTGGAAAATTCCTAACCAAAAATAAAAGAAGTGGATATGGATTTAGAATTATCGAGGAACCTCCAACCCCGACAAACCCACCCCAGTTTTGGTCGGCGTCCATATAAGCAAAGTCGCAGCGAGCAAAAATGAATTCAGCAGAGAAGAGTGCAGAGTTCAGTTCAGAAGAGTTCAGTCCAGAGTGCTCAGTTGAAGCAGGCCTCGCCTCAGCTGACTAAGATTCGCGCAACTTCCGAACTCATCTTCAATCCAAGAACAATTTATTTTGAAGAGCGACTTAGATCCATACCACCCAAAATAAGTTTTTCGACTTTCGCCTGAAGACACACCAAGAACCAATTTCTTAAAGAACAGACAACTTAAGATGTTAAAACTCGCCTAACAAAAAACAACATGTCACAATCCATATAGCGGGTTGGGGATATAGACGCAGTCCTATGTATCCAGCAACCAGATATAAAGTATTGTTATCCTTTTTTGATACCTTGAAGTTTTTGAGTTATCATTTTATTTTCTTTTATGCATATTTGTGTGATATTACCCTCGTTTGAACTCACTTTGCATTACGGCCCCAACGACTGATTGATTTCGTCTGCCTAAGATCAATTCACAACGTGGGTAGGCGGACTGGAGATCAACGCAGTTACTTTGGTAACCAGACGTTGGAAGCGAGTTGGGAACGACGAGGCTGATATCGAATCTAACCAGATTCCCATCCGAATCACCAAAAGGTTAGAACGTCACATTTGGGTGCCGCGACCGATACCAAGCCAGTTGGTCGTCACAGGACGGGACAACATGACTGACGCAACAGGCGGATGTCACGCTTGGAGCAGCGACACCCGAACGAAGCAGCGAGGAGCGAGCGAAGGCTGTGTTGAGGGACGTCACACAAATCTGTTACTGCCATTTTTTTTATAAACCATCTGTTGATTGCTAGTTATTATAGACTTTATACCTGAATTGGATAGGAAAAGTGTGTAAAGTGGACAGACAATTTTAGTCTTTATATATATTTTATCTCCAAGCAAATTTTGATAAATTCAATTGATAAGGTCTGTTTATTTAGTTTATTATTGTATTTATCCAACTTTTGAACAAAATGATATATATCAAAGATCAAAATTATGAATAAACTATCTAAAGTTAATATTTTTTCTTGGTTTTTTCAAGTACTTTCGACTATTTCAGTCATTATCAAGAACTGGGTGTTGTCAGTATGGTACACAAAATAGTGTCTTTGTAGATCACTGATATACTTGCTATTTAAATTCTCCTTATTTAAATTTATATTAGATGTAAACAATATTTAAGATGAAAACCTTTGCTTTCATAATTCTAAGTTACATTTGGGTGAAGCAACAATCAAAGGATTACAACAGTTAAAAAATCTTAGATACTTGGAAAATCTTAACCTAAATAAACAGACCCTGAAAACTAACAATTTTTTCCTTTAACATATAGTCATTATTTAACAACCCATAAAAACTGAGAATATATGATATATGTATATTAAATAAAGTTTACAGAAAATCTAACTTACAATCAATAGATTACAGGATAAGCATTGTTTGAATGAGATGTTCATTATTATTCAGCTTTTTTCAAACTGACACAAGGACACTTTTAAGGAGCACTAAGAAGCTAACATACATTTGAAAATCTGTGTATGCATTAGTGATTTTGTGCTGATTCATATGTATCAATTCATTAAAGCAATAATGCAGTAATCTAAATTACCAGGATAAGTGGTTACTCACCTGTACACCAAACAACTCCACCAACCATTGCCAAGGGGTAAAAGATACTCCTTCGAACAATATTGACTACTAGACCCACTATGAATATTCCACTGCACAAAATCCACTGGAAAAACATACCTAAAAATCCAAAAATCAAATACAATTTATTTTAATTTCTTGCATATATATGTGAATGTGTTTAGAAGAATGTAAGTTACTATATCGTGCTTAAAATATCAAGATTGCACATAATTTTCATTATCAAGTTATGAGTTTATTAATGCATTCATAAACTCATAACTTGATAATGAAAATATTTTATGCAACAAATAGTTTCAATATAGTCTTTTTCCTTGTCAATGTACTTAATCCAATGATATAAAAAATTTATATTTTTTTTATTACTGTAAAATAAAGTTAGGCATTACTTAAAGATGTAAATAAATGAATATTATAATTGTCTAGATTTTTTTTGTTTTTATACATACTTTTAAGAAAAGTGTATTTTATAGAAAGCCAGATGATTTGTAAAAAAAACTGTTACAGTTGTGTGAAATTTCAATTTTTAGAATTAGCAGTTAAAGAAGTGCTAAAATTATTTCTTCTTTATGAATTGTTTCAGAGTAACTCTTGTAAAACTTGGAATTGGTTGGCTAGCTGCAGGAAGCAGAAGGGTTTTTATTGATGTTCACATGTGAAAGTTGCTATCTGCCACTAGGAGAGCAAAAGCCTTCGGCATTCACAAGGACAATGCCAATGATGAAAGTGATAAACAAAGTAAAACTTTGCAGCTTACCATGCCATTGACGACAATGAAAAGAAAGCATAAAGAAATTATGAAATTTTCTTTAAGATGTACAGTGAAGCTTGTGGGTAGCAGAAAAGAAATCAAAAGACATTTCAAAATATTTATAAAGGTACAAGAGACTCTTGTGTGATAATCCAAAGTAAGTTTTTTGTTTTTCTATTAGGTGGGTACATTGTTTTGTATTTTCTGGCTTATTTTTTGCTTCCTCAAAGTTTTTTTTTTTTCAAAAAGTGTAACAAAAATAATAATAATAGAATAAACTATAAGAAATTTTTAAGAGTGATCTGAAATCACTTACAAGGAGTGATGTTTTTATAAGTTCCTTAATTAATTTAATCAATATAAGCTATCATTTTTATTCCACATAGATCAAACAATAATTATGAAGCAATTAATCCATTAAGTGGATGGGTTGCTTCAAGCATGCTCATATAACTACTAACAGTCAAAATGCAATCCATGGTTGTAACAGGAGACAAATTCCAATTACAATCAGCCACAATTACCTATGAGTCATTTCTACATGATTTTACAAAAAGTCTCACAATTGTGAATACTGATTATCTGTTTATGAAATAAAGTGGGTAGCTTTTTGCAGTTCAGCTGCACTATCTTTATGCCTACTTCTAAATATGGAAAGGCCACTTTTTTAACAAAATTACTGCTGAATTAATTACTGAATTAATAACTAGAAGACATATATTACAGTAGTAATGTTTTCAAACACTTTTTCAGTAGCATTCACATGCGAGTGTGTACATATAATTTTAGATAACCAACTCCAGCAACAAAATTAAACTTACTGCCCAAATTGCAAGCACAAGGAATCCATTTTGTAAATAGCAAAAGAATATTCAGCAATTTTAAGAAGCCAAATTTTATTGATTCGACAGCTATGTTAACAGTTTGACTCTTACCTTGCCAAGCTCCTATGAAAAAAAATAATTCGTCATGATAGCAGTAGTTTCATTCATTTATATGAATAGATTTGGATGTTTTATCAATAAATAAATAATTCCATCATTTTTTATGAATACTACATAAAATAAAATATGAAAGAGGGTAAAAAAGTGAATGTTGATAAAGTGGTGTCATTTATGTAAAGTCAATGATGATTTTTAAATAGAGTTTCTGTACAAAAAAATAAGAACTGTTATGTGGTGAATGTGCATCAATACAGATGCAAAAGAGGCCCTGAATTGCATATGGGCATGTCTGTCAAAACCATCTGAGCTTGCCTGTTAACAGCAGAACAGCTTGACATGTCCAGACATGGGCTTCTTTACAACTTGTCATGATTCAGGTTTCTGTCAATAAAAGCAACAAGAGAATCAGCAGTCAGGAGTGGGCAGTTAGCAAGATTGGGTGTCATGTGAAGTCACACCCTTGGACATTTTATTCCTCAAGTTACGTGTTGCTCACCATGCTATGTTTTTTGAGACAGTGTTATTTTTGTTTCCTCCCATCTCTTTCCATCCTCTGTCTGTTACCCCATAGTTCTTGGGAGAGCAATTGGTTAGGTGTTTCCCATCAACATTGTTATATTCCGTATTTAGTTACGTGGGCGATGTGAAAACAATGTGGGCGAAATACTGCATTTGGTTGCAAACAATGAAATTCAGAATCGAAAGAACAAGAAAGACTGTAGATATATTTTATAGTCTTTTTAGTGAGGAAAATAAGAACAAGTAAAAGGTTTGTATTTAAGAAGTTGAATGTCTATGGTAGTGGCAAGTAAAGTTCGTGGAGTTAACTTGACTTATGGAAGGGGAAAGGTACCCTTTGACAAAGCGTCGGACGAGAGTTCATTAGCAGCAGCAGTCACATGCTTCGTTCGTCGCCGGGCCAGTGTGTCAGGAGCGAGCAACGTGACCCTTCTGCCTCCGCCGTTGAATGGGACTGCCTTTTGACTTTCCCGTGTTGAACTTATACACGCCTATCGGCTCCAAATGGCAATTTTTTGACTACGCGAGGCGGTCCGATTGGTTGATTTAATTCTTTCATTTTTTTTTGAGTTTATCCCCAAACGGAAGTATCTACGTCAAGCCTCTGTGTAGATGTGCAGTTTTCATTTCGAGTTGGGGACTCGTGATGGTAACTTCCGTTTATCGAAGCAGGGCAAGATCTCATCTTGTAACAACATCAACTTGACAACATTATTAATAATGAAGATGATTAACACAAATAAGAACATTAGAAGAACAATGACCCAATGATAAAACAAAACAGCAGAGACAATCAAATAAGCTCTGCTCATTTTTCAGGTAAGGGAATAATGATAAAAAATTCAAAAGATATTAACTTACCATCTCCAGTTTCAAATTGTTTAACAGGTACAAAATTGCTCCCATAAAAAATAACGGCTACTAAGGCACATACGTAGCCAACATAGGGAGGAGTTGTGTCAGGAGGAGTTGTTGTTGACACCAGCCCTGTATAAAAATCAGTGGTGATATTTGCCAAGAAATGTGCTGAAGAGGTTGACATCTTACTTTGTAGTGATGGTTATTGCTTGAGGTTATGCAGGAACAATGTATCTTTTTTGTTACTAATTCATTTAAACTGTACAAATTTCTGGCAAAAAAAAAAAAAAAACAAAAGTTATTAGAAATCATGCATATGAAATAATTTGAAGAAATGTCAGAATCAGATTTTGACCCCTGTTTTAACACATAACTGACAAATAGGGCTCAAGAAAGTGGCTAAGTGGTGAATATCATTCATCAGCAAAACAAGGAAGGAGGAGAAGGAAATACAAAAATATGGAAAAGTAAAAAATTTTACTTTGTTTATGTTGTGGGAAAATGAAATAAAATTGATAAATATAATAATAATAAATGTTATAAATAATAAAATAAAAATAAAATTAAAAATAAATCAGGTCTAATATTCAGTACTGTTGTAATATTTGGGCAGGAGCTGTCCAGTCATCACCTTCCAGTCTCGATAGAGTCCAAAAGTGTTGCCCCACCCAAGTGGGTGACAAATTATTTTCCACCCTGTAAGCCTTTTCTCACAAAACCACTCACTGCTCTATTGCTGCTTCCATGGAAAGTGCCCAAACTACATTCCTTAATTCCACCAGTTCTAATGTTCATGGCAAGGACCCACCATGCCACACACATTGTAGCAAACCACCTTCATTCACTCATTATTCCATTGGTGAGGAGTAAGTTCCACTTCAGCAGCTTTTTCCTATGAACCACTGCTCTGTGAAACCAATTCTCAAGAGGATGCTTTTCTGATCACTACACTCTTAACCTGTTCAAGTCTAGAGTTGACCGTGATCTTCCCCACCTATCTTCATAGACTGTGCCTCTTACTTTCTAATCCTCTACTTCAAGTGACTCCTGGGCTTTGTACAAGGTGAACCAAAATGTACAAAAGAAAAAAATCATAAATGTAATGTACACAGTAAAGATTAAATGCACATTAATTATCATCTGTTAGGCTTGTTTACTAACAAATATTACCTTTTAGTATTTTAAGTCCTTCCATGCTTTTTGTATTGTAACTTTATCTCCTGTATAATCAGAGAAGAGTTTTTATGTACTTCTTACAGAATTGCAGTATTTTTCCATTATAATCAATCTGGCTTTAAATTTTATACTTCCTGCTATAGTTACTATCCTTAACTTTTTGTGCATGCCAACAGCATCTGTATTCTTCAACCTGCTTACAATTATTTAAGATAGTTTTGTTTAGCCATATATTTCTTTTTCTCTAACCTTTCCTTCTCTGGAATAAGTTCTTTTGTTTTCACTAGTGCTTTCTTTGTGGTGATTCATTTGGTATCCAAAGCTTCATACTTATTTTTAATTGCAACTGCATAAGCTTATTTGCAAATGTAGAGTTTAAGACATTGCTTTGGGTTTCTTAATTTTCCTGATATGTCCTGAAAAGTGATAGATTTGTTCAAAGCTGCAAAGTCATTTTGGACTACTGAAACCGAGTAGGACAAACTAGCAGGTAACTGTAATGGACTGGTCCTCGTTGTAGTGGTAGGCAATAGGCATAGGCAATTGGTGAATACTATAGGCGTAGCCAATAGGCGTTGTCTTGTACCACCACATCAACCTGTATTTATTGCTGACACCAGCCAATCATATTACTACATCACCTCCACATGAGCTAAATTTTCCCATGAAATTTAGCTTCAATATTTTCTCTTTTGAGGGTCTGGACATAATCGATTGATTTTTTTTTCCTAAGTCTTTTTTGCCTCAATCCTCCTTGCAGTGGTGGTGTGTGACACATTGGTACCTCTGGCCTTGAGTTCGGGGATACCTCCATTGGCGAATGTTGACTTACTGGAACGGGAATTTCAAATGCATCATACAGGACTTCCATTGGATTCTCTTTGGTATTTTCCATGACCTCTGTAGTGTGTCTGGGTTTCAATTGATTCCAATGTCTTTTGCACCAAAATTTTTCCCCTTTTATGTGATATATGACCTGTCCAATTTTTTTGGTTATCATTCCTTCTTCCCAATACATTTTTCCAGCCCTAAAGTTCTCGAAAAAAACTGTCACCTGGCTTATATGCTTTAGTCATCTGGTTTTCTTTTTCAGCAGTTTTCTTCCTGGGCTAGGCAACAGCCTGTCGAACACAGAGCATATTTTTCTCACAAACATTAACTCTGCTGATGATAACCCTGACGTTGTATTCGGGTTTGGCGTGATTCTATATACTGCCAAAAATTTCTGAATACTTCTTTCATTCATGTCCATGCCTTGGTTTTTCTTCAACGCTTGTTTAAAGGTGTCCACAAATTTTTCCGCCTGTCCATTCGATCTTGGATGATATACTGGAGTTGTCACGTGAGCAATGGACAATGATCTACTTGAATTCTCTTCCCGTAAATTGTGTTCCATTGTCGCTGACTAAAGTTTTAGGGAGTCCAAAGCAACTAAAAATTTCATCAAGTGTGTTTATTGTATTTTTTGCATTTGGATGTCTGCATTTTTATCATTTCTAGCCACTTAGTGAAACTGTCCACAATGATCAGGTAATAAGATCCATTTATGTGCCCTGCATGGTCGATATGCAATCGAGTCCATGGGACATCTGTCTTTGGCCATGGTTGAATCATTACCAGTGGATCGCTTGCAGCCAGTTGATATCCTTTGCACTGTTTCAACAAATTTTCCATGTCTTGGTCCATCCTCGGCTAATAAGTATAGCCTCTCATTAGAGATTTCATTCTCGAAATACCTGTATGGCCAGTGTGAAATTCTTTCGGTATTTTCTTTTGCAGAGTGACTGGCATTACAACTCTATCTGCGAATAATAATACCTGTTCGCAGATTGAAAAAGGTGACACACTAATTCCTTTTTTAGTTGTCTTGTTCAACTAGACTTGCTTTTTCATTTTTTTAATGAAATCATTGTTCACCGCTGCTTTTTTCACATCTTCTAGCATAACCGGTAGTTCTCTAATATTGTTGCATAACAGACCCAACAATTCACTTTCGTCTCTTAGCACCGCTATTACTGTTTCTTCCAGTGGTTCCGTATATTTAGGTATCAATCTTTGAAGGCACATATTCTATTTTTAAATTATAATTCAATAGAATTACACCCAAACGCTGTAGTCGATTTGCCATGTGAGTTGGTATACCTTTTTTTGAACCAAATATTGTTAACAGCGGTTTGTGGTTTTTTTGCAAAATAAATTCTCTTCCACATAGAAACCTGTGAAATTTTTTTACAGCTTAGATTATTGCTAAACTTTGTTCCGCAGACAGTAATGTTCTCGGGGCATGTGCTATTGGCTTCATAGATCCGTCTTCAAATTTATGAAGCAATATCACACATAGTCCCTCATTACTGGCATCTACTGCTACAATGATTTTCCTCTTTGGGTTGAAATACACTAACGATAGAGAAATGAGCTATATAATAATTTTTTTTTATTTTTTTAAAAGCCTGTTCGCATTCTTTCGACCATATCAATTTTACACACTTTTTCACCAAATTATTTAAAGGAGCTCTCATATCATACATTTTTGGGATATAAATGCTATAGTAACTTACTAATCCCAAGAAGGCCTGGAGTTTAGCCACATTATCAGGTGCTGGCATATTTTTTATAGCCTCAGCGCTTTCTGGATCCGGTCTTCTTCCTTTACTGTCAATGATCTGCCCTAAATATTTTATCTTCTTTAAGAAGCACTCGCATTTTTCAGCACTCAACTTAAACCCGTATTCCTCAATTCTCTGAAATACCACTCTAATATGCGTTTTGTGTTGGGCCTCGTTTTCACTTTTAATCAAAATATCATCTAAATATGTGATAGCATACTCCATACCAGCCAACATTGTGTCCATTATTTGCTGGGATAGGTTTGGAGCTACCTTCAATCCAAAAGGAAGACAATGTAGTTTAAAAATCCCTTTATGTGTGTTTATTGTCAGATACTTCAAGCATTTTCACTGACTTTAACCTGAAGGTAAGCCTCCGACAAGTCCAACTTTGAAAACATTCTACCTCCGTTTAATTTAGCGAATATATCCTCCGGAGACGGTAGAGGGTACGTATGGTCTTTCACACAATAATTTAAGCCTGTCAAAAAGTCAGCACACACTCTGATTTTTCGGTTTTTCTTTTTTATATCCACGGTTGGAGATGCCCAATCCAAGTAATCGACTTTTGAAATTACGCAAATTTTCTCCAACCTTTCTAATTCCTCATTTATTGTGTCTAGTGCCGAAAATGGTACTTTTCTCTTTGGTTTAATGATTGGTTTAACATTTTCTTTCAATTCAAAGTTGACTTCTGTTTTTATGCACAAACCTAGTCCTTCCGAACAGACCTGAGGGAATTCGCCTTTCAAATCCGTAATAAATCTTTCTGTTTGCTTTGTCTTATAGATCTCTATGACGTTAACTTTGTTACATAAAGAATTTACCGGTAATTCCCATAAATTAAACAATACAATCCAGTCTAAATCAAAGAGGTTTACTGAACCAGGGAGCACATACACTTTCGATTTGTGAATTTTTCCCATGAACGAAATGTTACATTTTAATCCACCTCTAAACTTAAGTCTTTTTCCTGACACTCCCCTGGCAATTTTGTCTATGTTCGTCAATGGTGGGTAACTGATTTTTTTCCATGTTTGTTTGTTTATTACTGAGATATCACTTCCTGAATCAAGTAATAATTTTACGGTCTGCCCATTTATTTTTACATTGAGGTTCTTTGACCCTCCTCAATTTCGTTTTTAGACAAAACTACGTTCACCTTTGTTTGAGACTTTGCTTTTAATTTTCTCTGTTTTACTTGACAATGGGAACTTCTGTGGCCTACATGCCAAAATTAAAACATATTTTATCCCTATAGAAAGAATCCTTCTTTATATGCTGTACTCCATACGAACTGCATATAATCTTTCTTTCTTTATTTTGTATCCACTTCTGTTGTCTTACAGTTTGTACTTGCGAAATGCTCTTCTCCTCAATCCAAGTATTATCTATTTTTATG